ATTGCTTGTTCACAGGATTTTGTGGATTCGCAAAAACAAAACTGTTTGCATTCTGAGTTTAGAAGTAGTTTGGAGCGTGACCAGGTGGGAGGGCAAGCAGGACTGAGGACAAGGAGAACAGGCAGAAGGCTACTGCCATTATCACAGCAGAAGGTATTGTGTATCTCAACTAGAATGGTGGCAGTAGCGATAAAAAGGGAATGAGTATAATGAATATTTAGGAGGTGGATATGACTTGCCTGACCAGTAATTGGATATGGGGAGGAAGAAATAAGGAAGAATCAAGGATGAGTCACTAGTTTTTTGGAACTTTAGAACTGAACAGAAGAGAACAGCTTTGGGAGAAAGGGATTATACTATACACTATATCTCCACTATCCAGCCCAGTAGGTAGTAAAATGAAGGCTTTCAATAAATACTAGTTGAAGGAATGCTTCATGCATACATGAATAAATGAATACCACAAACAATGAATGTTTGTATTTCCCAAAGCCTCACAAGTATTTGGTTTTATAACTAGAAATTGATTTACTGTTTTTATCTCCTCAGTGGAATATTTAAAAATCAAGAGACCAAGGAAGTGAGAAAATTAGGAAAGAAATTGTAGAAAGGACGGTGAAGGGGAAACAGGTTTTGTGAGGCTGAACTTGGGTGTCCCCATGTGCTCTGCTAGTTCACTACCATGTGTATTTTTATGGAAGGCCCTGGCATGGAGCCACTACTGTCCCCACCACTGTAAAACCTCTGCCCTCTCATTACAGGGTACTGGGATCTGCTCTGGTCCTGCTGCCACCTAGGGCGTGGCCTTGTATGTAAGTCTCCCTAACGTTCTCCTTTACTACCACACTGTAGTTGCCCGCCTCTTTCTTCAATCTCTCAGCACTCTCCATTTCTGAAGACAAATTTCCAGTTACTGGACCATGCCTGGACAATTGGCAAGCCAGCCAGACCAAGGAAATGGCATGTGGGAGTGAGGCATCTGTGGGGGAAATCCTGGGCTGGTCAGTGACCTCCATGTGGGGTGGTGTGGTCCATACGCCTTTCTGTGGGAGAAATCCCAGTTGGCCACTAAAGCCCAGATAGCTGCTAAAGCACACATAAGAGCTTTGCAGAAAGAGTTACAGATGGAAAGGGATGTGCAGCAGTCATGTGAGGTCACAACTGATGTGTTGAGCAACCGCGTCCACAAACAGGATTAGCAACTAGAAATGCTCACCTGCAGGTTTGTAAAGAAGGGAGATTCAGGGGCTAAGGGAACAATTCCCTGGCTATTGCTCAAAGCTCTCCAACAATGGGACTGGAGCTAGTTGGAGGGGCTAAGCTTGTCCCTTGTGCTGAGAACACCCTGTAACGCCCAGCACAAAGCAAAGTTAACACAGGAGGGGGAAAAAGCCCTTTAAGATAGCTTGTGTTGGGTGACCTTGAAGAGACCATAGAGGTCCTCTCTGGAATTCTCTGATAACTGCCCCTGCCAAGATAATCAAGCAGCAACATAGTCAACTGCAACAGTAAGGGGAAAACTAAAATAGGAGGGACAGCCTCCACGTTACCAGGCAACTGGGCTGAACCCATGCTTGTACTTGGTACGGTGGAGGCGTGGCTCCACAAATGACTGAGGGCTCTGCCAACTTTGCCCAGATCTTCTAACTTTCAGAAATAATTAAGACTAAAGATTAAGCCTAGGTCGCTCTGTCACCAGAGAAGACCAAAGGCCTTATGTTACAATTAGTTTGATGAGAAAATGAAAAGAATTATATGTCTTGGGTTTTCGGATACCAGTGCACAGGTGACTGTGACCTCTGTAACACCTGGTACCAAAATGAGGAACATCACTGAGACCCTTGCCCGAGCCTGATTATGGATAAGTTCATTCGGGCACCCTACAAACCTGATTATATGTATTGATGATGTTGATGTCTTAATGTACACCTTTGTAAACTTTTGCCTCCAAGACCTGACGAGAATTGCTGCAGTTAGGGCCGTTTTAGTGGGGCACACATAAACTGTGATGTGGGCTATAGCAAACAGCCTGGTCATTCAATCTGGCAAGCCCCTATGGATATGAGACAACTGGACAAAAAAAAAAAATTGGTTCTACTCCTAATAAGCTTTTGTTACTTGTGTGGATGGTCACCAGAAAGGCCCCTATGCTGAGAAGGGAAAACAACCAATGAGTAGACCACTTTTGCCAACTGACTGCAGAGTCTGAAGCATTCTCTGCTCCAAAGCAAAGAGATGTGTCAACCAACCACCTCCTGGATTTAAGAGAGGATGATCCATGGAGATTCACACATCATCCTAGATGACCTACACACATGGACTGCCACTGTTATCAGAAAAAGCTGAACGGCATAGAAAAGCTGACCTGCCTACAAGACCCTGGCCAAGGCTAAAACCTGCCCAGGGACAGATTCCTGAGCCAACAGGCCAGGGTGTTCTGGCACCTAAATCATATGGGGGCTTCTTAATCTATACAGAGGCTTCCACTGGATCTTGAATGAACTCTTTACACTCTGTATTACCCTCAAGCCATAGGGGCTATTGAGCACTTCAGTAGACAGGCTTAAATGACTGATGGGAGGAGATAAGACAATGCCTGCCTGAACTACACATCTCAGGCAAGCAGTCTCAATGCAGCAGTTCCCTGCAAGGGCATTTCTCATTCGTACCATATGTTTGATCAAACCGTCTATTCTATAAAATGTGTTTCTTTTGTGTACAACTGTTCCTGACAAAAGTTCTAGGTTCTCACAGATGTCGCTGCCTTGAGACTAGGACAGACAGCCTGGGTGGCTATACCTGGGCAACCCTCACCTCAAGTCCCACAGGAGGTAGGCGAGGGGAGGGAAGAATAGTTAATGTTGTCTCTTTTTCTTCGCTTATTATCTTACAAAGATGGACATGCCCCTTATCCATAGGCCCCAATGATACAGGTTTTTGCTAGAGCTACCAGTCAGACCAACTGTTGGCTCTGTCAACATTTGAACCGAGATGACGAGTCATCTCACCACATTGTTCCAGCTGATTTGTAGTAGGGAGGACACCTCATGAACCAGCTGAATGTGTAACCTGGTGTGCTGAAGTATGAAAGCTGCCTGTGGAGAGTGCTCCAACTTTAGAAGGAAATTTCTCTCCTTGAGTTAAAAATGTAAATGGCATGAGACTGGATGGTTTGACTCTGAGAATGGTACCTTTAAGATTGAGTTTGATGTTACCCTGGACATGGAGACTTGTAGAATATGACCCGGTGGTCCAGTGTACATTGACTGACTAAAGAAGTCTGAATTAACCTGGTCTGGCAATGGTAATACCTTGTTCAACTGTGCTGAGAAAGAGGACTTTTTTATATTAATTGGACTAAAATGTGTACTGTTCATATAATGTGCCACGTTGAAGGAAATATGCTGTTTTTACATAAATAAATCAAGATACATTATACATGCATAAGATTGGGCAAATGCAGTGCTTTGATCTATTCAGTTGGCTTGGATTAAGCCACAATTGATGTGGCCAGTTGGGATCTCTCCTCCAAGCAGGCCTAATCAAGCTGCTGGGGACAGTCCTACTAGTAACCCTTGTTAAATGCTGCCTCAAATGATGCACAGATGTAACACCCACAAGAGTTATGCACCAAACCACGGACATGAACCTCAACATCAAAAATGGGTGATAGGCATACCAGGAGGTGGTACTACTTTGCTTCTTTTTCCAGCACCCTGATGAGGGTCAGGGGGTGGCCTGTTGGGGGAATGGTCTGCCTCTATGCCTACCATCCAGGCTGCCTAAGTAAAGGCCTTGGACCCAGAACATTTTCTGATAAGTTGGCTAGGAATTGGATCACCTTCTATCTTCTAGGTCCATCTCCTTATCTGAGAAGCCTTCCCCCTGTTTTGGGCACACAATAACTTTCTCTGTCTCTTGCACATGAGTGGGCACCACATGGCACCTGGCCAACCCCACTTCTATATCTGTCCCCAGCGGGGAGGAAACGATTCTCTTGTACTATGGCACAAGATGGGGAGTGTGCCAGATTGTAACAGCGGATCTCAAGGGGTGGATTGAAGGGGAAACAGGCTTTTCAAGGCCGAACATGGGCGCCCCATGTGGCCTGCTAGTTCACTAAGTTAGTATCTTATGTAAGCCCCTAGCACGGAGCCGCTTTTGTCCACCACCACTATAAAACCCCTACCCTCCCACTGTGGGGTATGGAGATCTGCTCTGGTCTTGCTGCCACCCAAGACTTGGCCTCATATATACGTCTCCCTAATATACTCCTTTGCTGCCACACTGGAGTTGCCCACCTCTTTCTTCGGTCTGTCAGCACCCTACATTTTTAGAGGCAAATTTCAAGTCACTGGTCCATGCCTGGACAGACAGGAATCCAAAGCTCAAGATTTTGGAACAACCAGATCCTCCCCACTTAAAATTTGTCAATTACTTTACACAGTCAACCTTATGCCAAATAATATAGACTTAGCTATTCTCACAGAAAGTTGGCAATGCCTGAACTCAGACTGCTAAAAATTCAATATCCCCAGATTCAGAATAAAAAAATAGCTTCCTTCCACTCACCTCATGGTTTGCCAGTTAGGGACTGAGCTGGCTGTCTCCAAAGCCCTCTGCCCTGAGTTGCAGTCCTCTCAGAGCGCCCATGTAGCTGCAGGTGTCTGGAGCAAAGAAGGGCCTGCTCGGAGAATTCCCAGATAGCCTTCTGTCTCCATCTGCACTTGGGTGCCATGCACCTTAGTTATGTGATTGTACTTGTGTTTATTTATGTTATTATATTGAATTTTATCACTTTGGGTTATGTATTTAACTGCATTTGTCTTGTATCCTCTGGAGGGCAAAAGTCATGATTTCTATTTCCTTTGTAACTCCCCAAGAGTCAGGTATAATGTTTAGTATAAAGTGAGAGCTCAGTAAGTACTGGTGGTTGTGCAACTGTAATTACTAAATTGAAGGAAAGTGACTTTTTAATGGTCAATAAAAGGCACAGTGTATCTGGTCTTAGGAAACAAAATATTTATTGAAATGGCATGTAGATAAATTATTATCAGCATAAAACTGTGAGTGGAGTTTTCAACACGTGTTCTTTTACTCTTAAAATGAAATGAAGCTTTGCAAGTTGATTGTCCCATAGGAAAAAGTATCTATTTCTCTGTTCAGATAAAGTCCTTTAAAAAAGCAAATCACGTTTGAAATGGTCTTTTAAGTGTCTCCAGCCTATGATCAAAAGAGAAAATATATACAAAATATATAATCTCTCCATTCAACAAGAAAAATTAAATATGAATGACTTAGGGGCAATAAACCTGGAAAAATACTTGGGATTTTAAGTTTTAAAATTTATTCCTATTTTATTAGTATGTACTAAATTATTTAAGGACTAATAAAAACAAAAAAAATCACCAATACAAAATCACATGCAATCGTTGAAATGCAAAACATGACAATAGCTTTACGTTTAGGAAATTATGCAAAATATTCTTTCCTCAAATAAACAATTTTTAAATAGCTCTTAGTTTAGTAATTGGAGAATACAGTCCAAAGTAAGTTTTAATTTCCACTTAAGGCTAAATAGCCTTAATGGAAGGCTTAAAATGATAAATATAGTAAGAGAAAATAGGAAATATTTTTCAGAAAAGTTTCTGAAACTTTGTGAGTCAATAGAAACTAACATGCTAGTTATTTTCTACAATTAATTCCCAGTGAAAAATGATTTAGTCATATTCTATTTCAACATGGTGCTCAGATCCAACCTGTTTGGCTCCCCCCAGATGATGTTGCTGTCCGTCTCCAATGGAGAGTCTGTTGAATGGGATTATCTTCATGGTGGTTTTCTTCATGGAATACCATCGGGATTTCCAGGTGGCCCAAATAATGCCATTATCATAAGCATTAGGAGTAGATGCTTTTGAGTAAATGCCACCTAAAACAAGTTGTAGATGTACGATACACATTATTGCTCTTGAATGTACTTATCTTAGCAAGTCGATAAAGAACTATTATGAAATCTATTGTCACTTACATCAAATTTATAGTGTTATCTACCAACTAAAAATATTCCTAAAGATTCCTAAAATCTCAATTCACAATTGAAATAAATTCGTTATTAAATAATACCTTGTATCTGTGTTGTGCTTCATGGTCATTTCCATACTTTAATTTTATTCACTAATAACATGGCTAGAGTGCCAAAGGTATCCAAATGGCCTCTCTCCTTAAGCTTAGCCATTCTGGACTCAACAATTGTGGATCACCTTTCCTCAGGCAGGCCAGAATAGTAGGAGCTACAAGATTCCTGCTCGGATGATCTCAATTTAATTGAAAACACAATTTTACCACAGAATTGGAACAAGTATGAGGGATTTTAGAAAAATGGTTCTGGAATTTTACTTTAAATCTCCATTATGAAATGAAGTTTAGGTTAATTTGCCTTCTCCTACTCACTAAGCACCATATCTCACGTAATTGTGTAAGGGTTATCTATCTCCAATACTAGAATGCACCAGACGCTATCCACATGGCTATCCTGGGACAGATGGATTAAGCACCTTCCCTGAGAGCTTCCTCTAATTATGGGGTTTGTAGATGGAAAGGTAAACTAGCCTTCTAAAAAAATTAAGAAAAAAAAAATCTGAAACCCAAAGATAAATTTAAATAGCCTTTGACAGGATCCCAAGTTGACTATTGGCTAGGACATTGCCCTGAGAAGGAAAGGTTGCTCATCAGTAGATGAGATGAGTAGCCATACTATACGATTTTTAATGGATCCTTTAGCATCAGTAAAGCCTCCCACACATAAACTGTTGGATGGTAAGTAAAACCAGTCTTCGAACCACTCCAGCTTTATCGAAAACTATAGGCTGACCCCTCCCATCCCAAAATAAGTGTGTACACTCCCCTGGCTGGATTTTTCTCCTCTCAAACTTTCATGTACCCTTGTCCTTACCAGTAATTCCCTACTCTTTAATCTACGCTTCCTGACACCTGATTACTGTTTGTATCTGACGTGTAGCTCATGGGAAGCTGAGTCAGGCTAATATGTTTGCAAGCATTAATGTGGTAATGTTAGTCCACCCAGTTAATATATATGCTATGTCTAAAGATGATACCATAATCCAATGGGCCAATCTTACAGTGGTAGTTTCAGGCACAATGACAAACTACAGGCTATTTTTCAGCAGGTGGTTTTCTTGTAGAGTGACCAATTTTAGATATAAGCTTGGTACATCCGTGGCTGGTTTCAAATAAAGAATTATATGGTAAAAGCTCCAATATCTTTACTAATTATTTCTGATTTCCTCATATCTATTTATTACCTTTTGCAAAAACATAAATTATGTACTCATTCATAAATCCAAGAAAGACAGCCATACCTTGGTAATAAACTCCATTGAGGTGGGCAGCATGGCACTTGTTCATCCACCAACCAGATCCATCCTGTTCAGCACAGTTGCCTTCAAACTTATCATTGTCGTTGTCCCAGGTACTGAACTGCATGCCGTTGTGGGATGTAAAAAACTTGTCACTAGGATCATCACCAAAATCATAGCCATCAAAGGCATCTCCAGCATCTCCACTAATGAAGTATGCATACGTCAGGCGATATTTGTCAGTTTCAGGCCCCACCTTGAACATGGCATAGTCTGCAGTACTGTGAAGAAGGGAGCAGAGACATCAATTTCCTGAGACTCGTCAAGGATCTGAAAAGGTCCTTTTTCCATATGACTGTTGTTCGGAGTTTCTAACTGTCTCTTAAGGCTGAAATTGCTTAGTGAGTGGAGTTTTCTGAAACCTGGGAAGAGGCAATGTATATGTGAACCAGTTCACAGCTCACCAAAACCCAGAATGGGTCTAGATTTCAGAGTAGCCCAAAGAAAACTGAAAACTTTACCCATTTGAATATCTTTTGCCTATTAGATCCTAATATCAAATCAAGGTGTTTGGATGAACAAGATAAAATACACATTTTCCACTTTTACTTAAATGTTTAACATTGTACACACAGTTTTCAAAGACTGGGGCAATTACCTGACAGTGAGTGACCATTAATAAATGCACCAAGCTGGACAGAGCTACAGCATCATTAGCCACTCATACCACCTCTGGAGGGTGAAGTCCTAAAGGGATTCTTCCTTCCCAAGCTAGTGTTGTAGTGGCAAGAAAAAGGACTTCCAAGAGCATCACAGAAAAGAAGTGGTCCCTGTCTGGCCCACATAACATGAGCTGTGAGAGTTCAAGTGAGATTCCCCTAGAACAATTTGTAAAAGAGGGCCAGAATTCTATAGAATAGAAAGAAGAGTGGGTCTTGACACATGACCAGAGATTTCCAGAAAATGTCTAGCTTCTTTCCTAATCTCCAGCACTTGGGAAATGGGAGAAATTCTAATAGAAAAAAAGGTCTACCGGCTAAAAAAAAAAGATACCTGTTTGGAGAAAGAATTTTTTTATATTATTATTATTCTGTAGACATGACAAAAGGATTGGATATTGTTGTTCATTTTAATTAGCTCTGAGTGTAAAGGGGGCTTTATCCCACCAATTAGCTGATTTAGTTTTAAGATCTTCGTGGATTTGACTGAATGACTGGACATTAAAGTACAGGGAAATCTGAAGAGCCTGGATTAGCTTTTCAGTCAGGATAGTGGTAAAAAGGGTGGGCTTTGGAGTCAAACTCCCTGAGTTCAAACCCCACCTCTACCATTTAATTGCAATGTGACCTGGGGCAAAATAATCTGTAAAATGGGATTATTTATAGGAATTGCCTCATAAAATAGTTATTTGGTATAGATTAGATTACAATTCCATGCTCAGTTTCTGGTACATCTTAAAAGTTTAGTAAATGCCAGCCATTATTCTGAATAGTTCTTAAGTGAGCTCAGAAATAGTAGATGATACCAAAACACTCAGATCCATCCTGGATAGAATTTACCTCTTCGGGATGGCCCAAGAACCAAATTGACTACTGGGGAAATTGGTTGGATGTACTCTTTGCATTTTCCAGGCTGTCTTTGCCATTGGGCTATTGATGGTTGGAAAATGCACATCCCCTTTGACAAATGAAAAGTTAGAAGTCCTTTCTAAACAATACCTGGTTCTGCCATTCCAGTCCTCTAATTGTACTCTTAACGTATATGGAATTGTAGACTGTGTACTGATCAAATGAATCTTCTCATTTCCCAGCCAAAACTCTGTGGTGCCAGTAGGAGACAGATGTCCAAACCCTTCTTTATATTGAATCCAATTTCTCTTGAAATCCACACTGCCATCAAGTCTCTAATTACACAATTGCATGGGCAAAAGGAGAAAAAAGGATTATCAGTGTGCATAAAGAAAATATTCTAAACATTCTATTGAAAATATGGAGGGTATGATACTATCGTATACTAAGTGACCTTGGGCAAGCTGCCTCAGTTTCCTCATCTGTCACTTCTTAGTGTTGCTACAAGGATTACATAAGAGAATGTAAGAGAAATACTTAAAAAGTGCCTTGCCCATGGTAGTTTTAAAAACACCTAGAGGACTTCAGGGACCCTGATGGTGCAGTGGTTAGGAGCTTGGCTAACCAAAAGGTCGGCAATGTGAACCCACCAGCTGCTCGTTGGAAACCTTATGGGGCAGTTCTACTCTGCCCTATAGGATTACCATGAGCTGGAATTAGCTTGACAGCAATGAGATTGCATTGGATTGGAGACAACTTCAGGCTCAAGCTTGATATTGCTGACTCTTGTATTGATAATGGAATGGTCAGGCCTATGCTCAGTCTGTGTCGGTCAGCCAGTTCTTCCACCATTCACTCCTTCCCTGAGAGCCTCCTGCAGTGTAGCTGTGACAGTGGTAGAAGGTAAAGAGAAGGCTAGGGAGCCAGGATCCACAGTGGGTGCCAGTGGCTGGAAGAGGCAACAGAGCTCCCTTGGCTCAGAGCCGCACAACTGTATCCTCTGGGGGCCTTCATCATTTTGTGATGGGAAGCCTCAGGTCTGGATAAACCTGACAAAAGAGGTCCCTTCTATTTGTGTCACATGGTACTCTGATTGTGTGCCATCAAGAAACTACAATGGCAGTGCCAGCATGGCAGAGTCAAAGCACAGATTCTGGGACCAGACTGAATGTGTTCAAATCCTGACTCTGTTACTTGTTAGTTGTTACCCTGGGCAAGTTGCTTAACCTCTTGCGCCCCAGTTTACCCATCTGTAATTAGGGGTAATAATAGTTCCTACCTCATAGGGATGTTGTGAAGGGTTAAATGAATTAACGTTCACAGGTGCTTAGAAAAGAGTCTTGCAAGTGGCAGAAACCATGTGAGTGTTTACTAAATACAAATGATGAGGAAAAGTATACCTTCTGAAGCACAGTCCACCCATTTCCAGATGCATCAATTTCACAGTAAACTAGGAACTGCTGCTTAGCTTTCAGAGGCTTGATAAAGTAAAGCCCACTCACTTTGGCTCCCTTGTTTGCAATGTCTTGACAATCTGAAGAAGAAGAGGAAGAACTTTTACTGTGCTTTGAATTCCAGGTAAGATTGTGCCGGCATTGAAAATGAGTTTTTAATATATTGCAAACCATTCATTTCATAAGAAAAGTATTTTATTACTTCCCACATCATCATTCCTTTCAGACTATTTTTAACTACTCTACAAAAGCCCGAGAAATTGGAATCTTTAGATTTAATGTCTAGACACCTTCCAAGTTATTCCTACACATTTCAATACATGCCATCTTCTTTACTTCGTCTGTTTGCTTTGGTGAACATAATCCCAATATAAACTTTCACTTACCTTTCCCAGTAATATCATATATTTGCACTGTGTCTTTGCAAGATTCCTGACACTTTGCTTCAAGCTGGGTTACCTTCTCCTTGAGGTTAACAATCTTTTGATTATTTGAATTATATATGTCCAGCAAAAATCTGTAAGCAGAGGAATAAAACAACAAAGTACTTGCTTCAGAGGACTAATTTTATATATTCTTAAAAATATACTCACTTTCTCAAGAATTACTTCCTGATACATTATTTTAATTACTCCATCTTTGGGAAAATGGTAAAAATATGCAACTAGATTGAAGTAAATAAAAATTCTAAGCTTTCTGGAAACCAACCACAAAATTTCTTTTTAATTAAACCAGGAATACCATTTTGACTTGACTCTTTTCACCCGGAATGGGGGTGCATAGTCTCCACTCTGAAACAAATAACAAAGTTCTTGTCAATAAGCAAGCACCATTCTAGAGTGGTCCTTCTGATTTTTACCTTCTGCATAAGGAGCCTACATAAGTGACGAGCCTGGTTAATAGGAACATTGCCTGAGGATCAAAAATCAGGAAAGGCTCTGTTCAGTAATTACATGTGCTGTAATTCCTTCTGACTTCATTCCTTCTGACTTATGGATCTACTGAGAATCCATTTGTGAACTTCAGTCTGTAACTTACTTGGGAGAAGGATCTGTGGCATTATCTTACATAAAACAAAACAACCAACATTTTCCATTTCTTCTTTACATAGCTTTAGAAAAGGGCAGAGGAAAGCAAACACCTTGCTTTCCCAGTTTCTCACAGGGTTGCTTGTCTACATTCAGAAATGATAGCTAACTATCTACAACATGTAAACTGCTGTGTCTTTCTTAGTGATAAATAAAAATAGACTATTTAATCATTTTTCCCTCTACTATGCCCTAGAAAATTTCTGCACAATAGTCTCATTCAACTTGAATGATAGTCAGTGATGATATAAATTATAATGATAAGAATAATCACAGTGATAATAAGGTCAGCCCTCTGACACCAAAAAGAGGAGCAACTCCTCCTGGATCATTTCTCCCACAAAATGTCTTTTAAATTCTTATGCTACTTTGAGAACAATCTAGAAAAACCATTGAGGAAAAAACCAAAATTGTGTATGAGACTCTATCTTCAGAAAGTTTATGAGCCCTTGGGAGGCAGTTAACAGAGACATTGTACCTCCTAGTGAAGGTAGGAGATTACATAACTGCAGGTTCGTGGTGTAATAATCAACATGTAGTTTTACAATGTTTGTTAAACTTATCTAAGCCATGTTTTTTTTCTGCTCCACTTTCAATATAATTTACTTTAGGAGCCAAGATCCTCCCTATGCCTCTACTTGCTAATTCCTCACCACTGATTCCATGACATTTTTATAGAGAATTTTATTTCAACACCCAAATTCCCATCAATTTGAATTTGCATTGTAAGACAAATGGGAGGAAAACAAACATTTGATAAGTATGGTCATCATTGCATTTTAAGACACCTAGGACACCTTCCCCTGTGATTATTAAAATGCAAGTAAAATGCAATGCAATTCATATTACACTACAAACTCCCACCCCACTGCGTTCAAGATAGTCAGACAAAATGCCAATTGGATATTGTAAATGGGGAAAAAAAGATTACTTTTTGCTGAAGCTTGGAATATTGAATAAAAACTAAATTTAGTATTGGAGAACGAGTGAAAACACAACTGCTTACCGAATACTTGATTCATGGGTTAAAATCAATGCTTCATATTTCACAATTTCTTCTAACATTTTCTTGGACTTCTGAGTAGCACCTTGTATCACACCTGTAAGATGGGATCAGCGATATAAAAAATACTTAAGCTAGTAGAACAACAAAAGCAACAGGACTTGTCAATCAGTAGGTTTTCGTTTCTCACTTTGTTGTGATGGTTCGGCAGGATAGATGATTTGGATTGATTTGATCAGTTCTTTGGCTTCTGATGTTTTGTTTTCAGCTTGGCGTAAGATGTCTTCCAAAGACTGCAAATCCTTATCTACACCGGTTTGGTAAGAAGACAGGAAATCTGCAATGCCACACATAGTCGGGCAGTAACTACCCTGAAAATACAACAAGAAAATAATTTTAAAAATTGATTAAAACTACGCTTAAAATTTATCAATATAAATAGGCAAAAACCTAGACTATGTTTTTAAAAAATTTTTGAATTCCAAATCACCCTGGCAAGAAGAAAGCCTTTTATTCATCTGCCCCTCTCCAGCTCAAACACAAATCGAAAAACAGAAAAACTACTTACAAATCTTTCATCTAAGATGCAGCAGTTGTCTCTGGTAGCCACATACTAGAAGAGAAAAAGACAGAAATGTCACTAGTTCATTATATATTTCTTATTTTTTAGCTTACCATTTAAAATAAATACGTTTTGTGAATAGCACACTTACTGCCAGGCATGTTGCAGAGAGTGATAATAGAGTGTAGAAGCAGAGAATTAAACTCCGCGGATTCAGGGACAAACTCATGGTGCCTGCCTGGGGGACCCGGTGCTCCGAGCCCTGTACTGTCAGCTCTGTGGCCTCTTGGCCTCCACGTCCCTTTATGTAAGCTCCGGTGGCTGGAGCTGATCACGGGGCCTCCTTACTGGAAGGGTGAGGGAAGTCCTTCTCATCTTTTTTCTCATCATGGCCCCTACCCTCTGCTCATCCAGATTCCCAGATTTTGCACACAGGTTTGAGCTCCTCCCTTTTGGCCCAGTTCAAACTTCCTCCTCTGAAGTAAAATCATCCCCAAAGCCTAGTGAAGCATTAGCCATTGCTACGAGAAGGGAAGGTGGGGGAAGATGCCTGATGCAGCCTCCTCCAGGGCAAGTCTGAGAGAGCAAACACAGAAATTTGACCTCAACCAGAATAACCCCGTCCAGCCTGAAGATGGAACCTGGTGCTATAATCCCATTTACTCAAAGTTCTCTCTTAGCCCAGGAATGAGGTAACATAATTATTTTTAACCTGTGGCTATGGCAGGAAGAGACTTTGCCTTCCCACATGTACCAATTTGTCAATATTCCCAGGAAAGAATGCCACACTAGAAATATATTCCTGCCCCTCTGGGTTGGCCATTTTCATAGGCTTTCAGTTCTCAAAGAGCTTCTCAGCTCAAGCCTTCCCTTTGTCTGAAGGAAACAGCTGGCATGACACCTCATCTGTCACAGAGAGGAAAAGAGCTAGGAGCCCCCTTAGTTTTTCCTGATATTCCATCTTGTTACATCACAGAAAATCTTGGATACCAGAGGAAGGGGCTAGAAAAATCTACTTCCCATATATCTGACTAGAAACATACCTAAGGCATTGCCTTTGTTTTTAAGGAGAGAGTAACCTAATTAGGGAGGGTATACATAAATAATTGTTAAGGCTCTGGAATCATCTGCCTGGGTTTGAATCACATCTCTGCAACTTATTAGCTGTGTCACCTCATACAATTTACTTCACTTTTCTGAATTTCAGTATCCCCATTGGTAAAATTAAAATACCTACTTCACAGGACTGTTATCAGAGTCAATGAAATAATGTGCTGAGCACATTGTCTATTCCACAGAAAGTGTTATAAGGTTTATAAATTACAAAGTGTTTTAAAGTGATAATTGAAGTTGGTATAAATAGATATTTAATTTCATAGAATTAAAACCATTGGTAGATTTGGTTCATGGGGAACAATCTTTGTTGTTCTAACTACAGAAAATTCTCTTTCATAAATCATCTGTTGTAACTAACTGTTCTCTGATTCTATAATGCTTCCTAGAGAAGAAAGTTTAATTTAAGTGGAAATTGTTTAATTTATGTGAAAATTCATTTATTCTGGATAATGGACTAAACTAGATGCCTTGTGAGAAGGTGTATTTCCCATTAGTAGGAGTGTTCAAGCAAAACGTACTTGGTCATTGTGGTGTTTTTGCTGAAGACCATGAATTTGTTGAATTTAAGGTAACAATTTATAACTTTGTGCTATATCATATGTATATATACATCATATTAGAAAATATACAGAAAGGTAATAAACACTGAAATTGAGGACATTGGAAATTCTATCCACCCCATTTTAGAAGTGCAGCACTTATATTCGTGGCCTTTTACTGACTTGCATTGGATTCTAAGATGTGTTATCACAATTCTAGAGAAAAGGTTTGCTTTATGCTACAATCTCATGTAATAAATCAGAATCCTATTAGAAAAAATGTTCTTTGAGAGAAAGTGGTCAACAGTGGTTAGTGGCCCACAATGGCCCTGCATTCAGTTTGGTATCACTTAAGTGTATTAAATTTTAACTAACTGTTCTCGTCCATGTTTGGGCTCATTTTTTTTTTCCCTCTGGGAAATGATAAATGATTAATCAATTCCAGGAAAGAAGACTATTTCTTAAGTCAAATTTCCTCTACTTCCAGGTTTGTTTTCTGACTAGGTAGCCTTCATGCCAACACGATCATTTAATTTAATTCAAATGTCAGTGAGCTTGTATACTGAAATAATTTTTTTCCCAACTGCCTATCATTCCACTGTTTGTGTTCTGATTTGTAAATACCACAGGAATTGCTAACAGTCTTCATATATATTGATATTTAACTCTGTGGGCCCCTTGTCTGTTTCATTCACCTCTGCTCAAAAGTCATTTGCTAAAAAAAAAAAAAAAAAGTCATTTGCTGTATATGAATTTGATTATGTAGCATTAATTCATACAGTGAAGAAGAGTTCCTGATGTGCTGACAGATGAAATAGGCCTGAAGGAATAATAGAAAGAGCCACCAGTTTTGAGCATCTTTTGTATACCAGACCTATGTTGTGGTTTTGTAATTGTTACTGATTTGTATATACTCTCATTTAATCCTCAAAACAAGTCTTAAATAAATATGATTATCTGCATCTTAGAAATGAGGAAAGAGAGCCTTAGAGAGGTTGTGTGACGTACACAAGGTCGCCGTACCAGAAAAGGAATTCAATACCTGTACACTTAACCAAAGCTCTAAATGCAATCACAAAACCCTTCTTAATCTAAGATGCTACAAGTATCTAAGGTGTTATTATGAGAATCAAAGCTATATATTGCTGGGATGTGTTCCTAGTGGAGTTTGTGTATTTTTAAAAAGAATACACATAAACTCATTTAGAAGTATGTGTCTATGATTGCATGTACCTGTATAGACATAGACATCCTGTCTACCCATTCCAAACAAAGGTGATTCAACAGACTGCCCAGATTATCAAACAATATCATTAATATCACACGCAAGTAAGTTTTGTTGAAGATAATTCAAAAATGATTACAGCAGTACATCGACAGGGAAATTCAAGCTGGATTCAGAAGAGGACGTGGAAAGAGAGATATCATTGCTGATGTCCGATGGATCTCGGCTGAAAGAGGAGAATACAAAAAAGATGTTTACCTGTGTTTTGACTATGTAAAGGCATAACAAATTGGATCATAACAAACTGTAGATAACATTGTGAAGAATGAGAATTCTAGAACACTAAATTGTGCTCTTGAGGAACCTGTACATAGACCAAGATGCAGTTGTTTGAACAGAGCGAGGGGATACTGTGTGATTTAAAGTTAAGAAAGGTGTGCATCAGGGTTGAATCCTTTCACCATTCAATCTGTACTTAGTCAATCTGTATGCTGAGCAAATAATCCGAGAAGCTGAAACATGAAGAAAGCTGCATCGGGATTAGAGAAAGATTTGTTGACAACATGTGTTATGCAGATGACACAACCTTGTTTGCTGAAAGTGAAGGGGACTTTCCTTACTGATGAAGATCAAAGACTACAGCCTTTATTATGGGTTACACCTCAACATAAAGAAAACAAAAATCCTCACAACTGGACCAGTAAGCAACACATGAGAAATGGAGAAAAGATGGAAGTTGTCAAGGATTTCATTTTTCTTGGATTCATAATCAACACCCAAAGAAGCAGCAGTCAAGAAATCAAAGGACACATTGCATTGAGCAAATCTGCTGCAAAAGACCTCTTTAAAGTGTTAAAAAGCAAAGATGTCACTTTAAGACTAAGCTGCACCTGACTCAAGCCATGGTACTTTCAATTGCTTTATTGCATGTGAAAGCTTGACAATGAATAAGGAAGACTGAAGAGGAACTGATGCCTTTGAATTATGGTGTTGGCGAAGAATATTGACTATACCATCAACTGCCAGAAGAACGAACAAATCTGTCTTGGAAGAAGTACAGCCAGAACACTTCTTAGAAGCGAGGATGGCGAGACTTCGTCTCACGTACTTTGAACATGTTATCAGGGAACACCAGTCTCTGGTGAAGGACATCATGCTTGGTAAAGCAGAGGGTCAGTGAAAAAGAGGAAGACCCTCAACGAGTTGGATTGACACAGTGGCTGTAACAATGGGCTCAAACATAGCAATGATTGTGAGAATGGTGCAGGACTGGGCAGTGTTTCATTCTGTTGTATGTAGGGTTGCTATGAGTCAGAACCCGCTCAACATCGCCTAATGACAGCATCTGTCTGCTAGGTCCCTGGGTGGTGAAAACAGTTTGTGCTCAACCACCAACTTAAAGGTTGACAGTTCATTTCCACTCTGCAGTGCCGAGGGAGAAGGGCCTGGTGATCTGCTTCCATAAATGTTACAGTCAAGAAAATCCTACAGAGTAACTCTACTCTGTAACACATAAGGTCACAATGAGTTGGAATTCACTTGATGGCAATGCCTTTTGTTTTAGTTTGGATCTATCTACTTATCTATCATCTTCTCTAGATAACATTGGCTAGAGATCTTTTCCAGTCTTTCTAAAGCTGGGATTTTAATCATTTTACGATTGGCTTGTGTTTTGCACTCTAATTTCTATAGGGCCTGGTGAATTGAATTCTCTCAGCAGTTTAAGGGAAGATAACATTCATTGGGTGGTCCAGGGAAGCTTGAATCAATGTCTGACAACGATAGGTCTCTTTTTCTAATAAGTAAACCATTTATAGATCTGAGCTAAATTCATAGTTCGGTTCCTCAAACTTGGATTTCCTTAAAATAGGCAGAAAGAAAGTGACCCCTTGGCTTTGTTGACAGCCAGTCCAACCCAACAGTAAAAAATCCTATGGGGCAATGGAGTTGTCTGAGTATTTACTTTTTTATAAAAATAGATCAGGGAAAGTGAAAATGAAAATGTTTCCTTGGTAATCTATGAACAATGTGCTTTCAGTTTCACTATGTAAATCAAAGTTGAGAGAAACTACATAGGACAAATAAGATGGAGTCCCTCATGGGGGGCAGGGCAGCAGCCATAGGCAGCAAGGTTTTGGGCCTGACTGTTCCATTAGATTTCTCAGTTGGGGAAACTGGCCTAAGGGCAGGCATATTCAAAAAGTGCTATGAATGGGATTTAGAAAATTAAGCAAGCAAGTGTCCAGAGAAAGAAGGATTATTCCATTCAGAATTGTATTCAGAGTCAGAAATAGCAGGAATCAGCTATATATATATATATATACACACACACATTGGCCAGAGATTGCTAAATGTCTAAGATTTCCTTGTTGTTGTTAGTTGCTATAGAGTAGATGCCAACTCAGGAGACCCCATGTGTGCAGAATATAA